TCTTGAAAAATTACTGCTTTTATTGTTGATGGTCCTAATTGAGTTTGAGTCTATGTTAAACAAAGATAGAATTGAAAATGGCACCGTCTGCGTCGCGACAGTTTTAAAAGATACATAATTTTCAAAAAAAACGAGTTGTATTAATTTTTTTATATTTTTTATTGTCTGACTCAAAAAACTTAATATGCATTTTATTGACAGTCATATTTAGAATAAATGAAAATAATCGTCACTAGAAAAACTTTTCATCCTTTCATAATGTAATACTTTACATATAAACTCTCGATTGGCGCAAAAAAAATTATCGTTAAAAGTTCGAAAAATCAATTAGTCGTTTATCGTATAAACATGATGTTGCAAAACTAAACAGGAAAAAGTTTTCTAACTATTTCTAGCAATAAGCCCCCAAATCCTCCTTTCACTACTCAACTCGAAAAATATTTAATAGGTTTTCATTACATGTTAAGAGAGTGGACGCAACGCTTTCGCGAAAAGTAAATTAAAACAATTCTAGTAGTTTGAAGCTAGCTTTTTTCCAGCTGAACAAGAGACAAGTATTCTGTAAAAGTTATTTTATTTATGCGTGAAATGTAATGTTCATTTTGTGCTTCCAATCTTTCTCTCCGAGGAAACTCCGTTTCAACATTTTGAATAAAAATGTAAATTGGCGCTATTGATAAAATCAAGTCGATGATGGTATTTAATAGTTAAAAACATAATAAAACAGAACGCGTTTGTGATTTGAGAAGTCACCTAAAGAAGGAAAACTCTGCATAACCGGTCATAAAACGAAACTGCCAAACCAGATAACCCTTAAAAGTTCTCGTCGTAAAGATAAGTATGTATATATACAAATCTTTCACAAAATGTCTGTTGTTTTCTGGTCATTATCATTATTTATGAGAGCTTTTAAAGAAAGTCGACAAAACCCACTTCTGAAAACCCAGCGGTCTCAGCTGAAAGACTTGCGAGATTTCTTAAGTTAACAGCTAGAGCTCTTTGCAACAAGACCACGGTTTTTAATCGATTATGTTTTTCACATTTTACAGAAACTTTTCCTTTTGAAATTGTACGATTTCAATTTCCTAATGTTTACGCGATGCCGGATTTGATCGGCGAATAAACAACCGCAAATTTTCACCAACGGATTTTTGCCAATGATGGAAAAGCAGCGAGTGGGAAGGAAACAGTTGAAATTTAATGCGCAATATAATATTCCAGAATAAAATATTTTTCGGCCCATTATGCGATATGCAAAAGGGCAAATGTATTAAGCAAAATTATTTATATCCATTTAATGGGTCGTTTTCATCAACATGCACTGATTACGGTCTGGCGGAATTATAAATCCAAATCTGCCCAACCAACACAAAGTTCAGCCAATTCATGACAACGAAATTACTGGCCCGCTTATTAATATTAGTTTCATTCCCGTTATCAACATAGAAAATTGATTTTTGAATTAAAGCTCATCAATTTTACAATCATGTTTTAAGCCATTTTCCAAATAATTACTCGAAATTTACATAATTTGATGTGCTGACTTATTTTGGCTGATTTGCTTTATCGAATGGGTAAATAGTTTAAAATTAATGCTAAAATGCCTATTCTTTTGCAAAAAAATATTTCGTAATGGGAAATTTTAATAGCTATGAAATATTATTAATAGAAACAGTATAATTTCGATTCATTGCACCTGAATTATTAAGTTAATAAGCATCCAAAGACATGTTTCTTCCTCAAAAATAACAGTACCTAATCGTGTATAGCTTCTTCTCAGTAAAGTCAGTAAAGTAAAGGTTAAATTACACATTAAAACATTTGATAATAACCACTTTACAAAAATGGAATACATTAAAGCAATTAAACAGAAATGTAAAATATAATGCAAGACAAAAAATAATTAATTATGCATTCAATATGAGAAAATGTACTTCTTCATTCAATTAGGTGAGACATAACAAGGCTTCTATTATTCTGTTGTCTTGCGTTCTTTTGTTTCTTTGCTTCCTTTTGATCCAAATATTTTATTTTGCCTTAAGCAGTAAAATGAGTAATGAGGTTATAATCGAATTTCGATATGAAACTCTGGATCAAAAAGAATATTTAAGTAATGATGAATATCATTAATTTGATTTTAATACGGTTTCAAATATATATTTTGCGGCCAGAAAAAGTTCCATTAATAAGTAAATTTAGTTTTAGGTTTCTTAGTATAACTTTCATGAAAATGTTGTTCAAACAGACAGGGGACACAGGATTTAATTAGTATGAGAGACTCAATTTAATTTTGTTCTGAACAATCCATAATTGAAGTAAACAAGGCTAATGATCTGTGATTTTTATACCCATAAGCAGGACGCCGACGGCATTTATTCCAGACAAGCCTGAAGAGCATATTAAACTATCGTAAAACTCATGTCAGCGAAAAAGAAACAGGAGAAGCATGTGCAATGCGAAAAACATGATAAATAATTTATCACGAAAGGGATAGGCAGGATAGTTGGGGTGAGGCGCTTCTTTGCGACGAACTGTATTTGAGGAAGCGACGACTAAATTTCACTAAAGGAATTACGAACTGAATAAAATACGTTACTGACAATGAAAAATCGAGATTTACGGCTTTAACTTTTTAAGAAACTATTGTTGATAAAAGGCTTCGAACCGCAAAATGAGAAATTGATGGGTCTTTCATTCAATTCAAGAGCAGTTTAGTTATTCATTGCTTATGGACCAATTTAAGAGAACATGCTATCATTATACCGAAATTTCTGGATTTTTGGGCTTTTGGGCCTTGGAGAAAAAGAATTTCTTTCTGACATTTCGCAACAAAGTGTGGCTTACATGAGGAGCAAAAAGTTCTCCAGTTTCAAAAAATGGGCGCTAATGCCCAACGCAACGACTAATACATTTTTTCAAATTAATAATTAGTAGGCATTAAATTCAAATAGAACTGATATCCAATTAACTTTTTGCTAAAAAATGATATAGTTTTAACAAATTGAATGGAATTGAATGAGAAAAGCCCAATTAGTGTATGTAGTATATGTAGATGTTATGTATATTTTATATTTCTACGATACAATGGAGAATAAAATAAAACCCATACCAATTTCAGCTACGCTATTCAAAAACAACGAATCAAAGAAATTCATTGAAACGAAAAAGCCTCAGTGGGAAATAATTTGTATAAGTTTAGTAAATAAACTTTGAACACTTACAAAAGTATGTAATTGAGCAGCTTGCTTTGCATCATTAGTTAGTCAAGTTAATTAGTGTGAAACTCAAGACAACAGGGAAAAATTTTTGGGAAAAATCAGTTGATAAAAATTGAGAAAACTTTTAAAGGCAACAAGTGAGTAGGAAAATGTATTTAAGTTAATTTAAGAAGTTTTATGCTGCTATTCATATAAATGAATAATTACATAGCAGACAGACTAATATAATAACTATAATACAAGGTTGTGAGGAAAATATAATATGACGATTGATTACATAATTAAAACCGTTTTAAAGTTATATATAATTTTTTGTCAAACATGCAATTTCAAAACAGCTTTATATAGCTTACATTGGCTACATGTAACGATCTTTTTTATAATCCAATACATTTGCTGTTCCTGTGCACAAAATAACATTGAAAATTGTTAATAAAATTTATAACGATGTAATTTTATTACACCGGAATATTAGGGAATATAACAAAAAAAAAGGCTACTAAGCTTTCTTAAGCCTTAAATCCGGATCCAATTTATGAACGATTAAAGCGAATCTACCAAAACATTACTAACGATTGCCAGCACAGCTCTTTAAAATTCAACTTTAAACTTGAAATAAAACCTTGTGTTAGTATCACTATCAAAGTAGTAAAACCTTCACTTACAATCGAAAAAAGTTGTGAATTTTTTGCAATTTTAAAATAGGATGATTTAATAGAATCGTTTGCCAAAAATACTTAAATCATGGAAGAATTGGAATTATTAAGTAAGTTTTTCAATTGTTTAAATGAGCTTCTTAATTAATGTGCTAACGTAAACCCGATAGAACACAATCACACAATGGTTAAGTTTTCAGAAGAATTTCAATAACCGCTGAGTGGATGTTAATTTAAATTACACCGAATGAAACTTTTCTTGGCTTCAATTTAATCATTTGTTGAGTTTGAGTTTTTTTAATTAAAAAGGCAAAAGTGTGGCGCCGTGTAAACGGCACACTTTCAAATCTTGGAAATTTTTCAAGCACAAGAGGAAAATAAAATAAAAATTACAGCAACAGGCAAATTAATATTTATATAATTCGTGCTCTATGCATTTAGGAGCATTCCGAATGTGAAAGGCTAAACCAACGTTTTTTTTTTTATTAAATGAATTCTCATCTGCAAACATGACCGCAAAGATCATCAAGATTTGCAAGAGTTTTTAATCTTTTTTTTAATGAAAATAATTGTACTGTTCGAATTATTTGCTTCAAATCAGCTTTCCATGCTTGGAAGGTTAGTAGACCAATACAATTCTGAAGAAACGCAGAGAAAACGAGTGTTTTGAGTTTTCGAAATTCAAATACAGTAACTAAAACATTTCAGTGAACTCTAAAGACAACAAAAATTACTACTTTTTAGACGGAAACTTGAAACTGTCGGCAGTTGCGTAGCAATTTTCATGTCTGCAGTTTTATTGAATCTTTTATTATACCAGTTTCTTTCATTATTATGTATCCTTCCAGGCTCAAAGGCGAAATTACAATGTAGATAACTTTAGCAAATTAATTTGCCTGTTCTCCGATAAATCAACGTGTGATATCAACTAGATAAATACTAATAAAGGAAACTTTTTTGCATGCTTTGAAATATTTAATGGGAAATACCGATTATACTTCGTGACAACTCATATTTTATTAATAGCACTACCCCCTCTATTTTAATATTTAATAAAAGCATTTGCTAAATCCAATAAACTACACGTAAACCGCAGAGATCAATAGTTTTCCATTGTCCACCTTACCTGCTCTATGAGTACATTTTCGTAAAAACTACCTTATTTTCTTAGAGTCCAATAGTTAGACCATCAACATTAATCATGTGCCGATTAGAGCCACTTAACCGACCATTAGAAAGTTCAGTAAATTTCTTGGAAAACTTGACGATAACGCGCTCGATGATCTTTCCGTTAGCGATAGAGTCTTGTTGCTAACTCTACGGCATATCACGCTTTACTGCAGTTCAGCAGGAGTTAGAGCGAGGTTAGAGTTTGATTGGCGACCGCGCCAGACCTTCAAACCAGGGAACATTGGGTTGGATGTGGAGATTGATGGGTTTACCACATTTTGTTAAAAGCGGTTTAATAGTGTGGATTTTTTACACAGTCTTAATTTTTGAAATTGTCCTTCTGAAATAATTTAAAATTATTATTTAGCGCAGAAATTATTACTGTGACGTTGAACAAAATGTTAATAACAGTTTCGATTCTGCTCCCTGCATTTGCTTAATTACTTTTTACTTGCTGCAACTCCTTTAATTAATTTTTCATGCTTTCTCTAGAGCACGACAGTCGAAGCTGTGAAGACAAGTTTCACCCTATTAATTACCCTCATTCATAGCTAGGAGAAATTATTTTTACTTTCAAATTGTGTTATTTTATTTTATTTTGCGCTAATCATTATTAATCTAATCTAAATTACTGAACAGGTGAGCAAGTAAAATAGTTGCTGACGTCTAAATTACACATGATTTAAAATGGATTTTTTTGCTTTTGCATGAATTTTAGAACACATTTTCATAATTTCAGATTTTTTATTTAACTTTTCAAGAATAATTACGAAAAGTAGTCTTTTATTTATTAAATTACCTGTCAATTATTAATAAATAGTTTAACATGGAAAGTTTACCCGTTGTATCAAGTTTCTAAACTTACATAAGCCAATGGGGAAAAGAATTTCAGCTTTTACGTCTTTCTAGTTTGTCCCTTTCCGTTTACCGAATATGAGATGAATCGGGAACCAAGAGAGTAAGTTTAGAGTCTTGAGATTAAATTTTAATTTTTAATAAAACGAACATGTTTGTAGGAGAATGCTACTAATTAATTTATTTTATTTGTCTAGATTTATCGTGCGACTTTTAATGATATTCTGATCAAAAATACTAACACTTTATACTTATATGTAGCTTTGGAGTTCCATTCCATGCATTTCGAACCATTCGCCGGCTGGGGTATTTTGAGCAATTCTCTAAATTGCTTTCCTAAGTGCATTGTAAGTGGTTTTTCAAGTTCTACCAAGTAATCAATTTGTAAAAATCACTTTTCTGTTGCAATATTTTAAGCACATTCAGAGGGTCGAGGAGGTTTTGGCATTCGGCAAGACATTCGAAAAATCCGCATTGATGCATATTAGTAATTAAAAACAAATTTCTGTTTCGAAAAGAGTTGTTGATTTGTTCTTGTTTTTTGTTCTGTTGATAAAAAATAAAAAACCATCACGGTTTTCCTCCGTCTTATCCACTTCTCTCTCTATTCAGAATGTTAAATGAATTTTCTATAAGAAACATCGATCGGTTTAATCTGTCATATATGCCCTTGTGCATTCTTTCACAACTCGATTAGTTTCCTGTCGACAATTGGCTATTTAACTCTGAAACCAGTTTCTTCTATATTTTGTTAATATTAAAATTTTGATCCACTTTCAGCTCGCTGTAACTATTTTTTAAACTTTAAACCTCGTGTCTTACGTTGTTTTGTAGCTTACATTTTTGTTTTACATTTTAAATGTTAAAAATGTCATTAATTATATTCATATATTCAGGTTTTTTTGTATTTGCTTCTTGCATGTTGCTGCGTCAGAGGAAATATACATCAACTCCTAGAGCAGTTGCTTCAACAGGCTAAATTTGAATCTGCCGTTGCGATCACAAGTGCCAAAGTGTTTTATCTTTGCTAATGTTTTCTCAACATTTCTAAAGCTCGATAACTAAAGAAACGAACGATTTCAGCACGTAGCGTCTATTGATTGCACCCACATTCTATGCTGGTCAATTCTGCGTCACCTTTGAAAGAAATTGCGACTGTTATCACTCAATATTCGATGCTAGGTTTACCTGAGATTGAGTTTTTGCTTTTAGCCCACGTAGAGCCAATTGATATTTGAACCTTTATGTGATTTACCAAAGCTTCCATTTCATTACAAACTGGTCCCGATTTTACGTAAGGTAAACGAGATCAGTTTTAACGGTTTTTTTAACACAACTGCCGTAAGCTATATCACTACTACGCTGATAAAATCCATATCGGCCATAATCCATATTGACTGCATCTCTCGCAATATCGTTTTCATATTCTCTTATTTACCTAACGAGACCTAGGGATTTTTATCAAAAATATTTTATATGCAGCTATTTTTGTTGCCGCCGGATGAGGGAAAAGTATACCTCCTTGAAAAGGTCGTTATTAATCAAAAGCGCACATGTTATTAAGTAAGCTATAGATCTTTAACTATAACTTCGCTTTCCATTTCACAACGGTATAAAAATGCAAATTATGTAGAACTGCTGGAAGCCCAGCTGTATTAATATTTCGCTTTGATGCTCCTTTGAAATGCCAAATTATTTAAAATTGAGGTTGCCTTTTACCTAACAACCAGGTTTCATTACAAAGTAATCAGCGTCATAGCTTTATGGGTGGAGTAATAGAGTGACCAGTCATGTTCTAGGGAATAATATTTTTCCTTTAGACTACAACTGGGTCAGGTTTTCTCCATGAATTAAAAACACCCTAATTGAAACTGGCTTGATTTTACAATGACGCAATTTATATCTCCCTTTCAGTAATAACCAATGTTACTTTGAGTTAACATTGAAGCCATCAAGTGAACTTTGTCAGCTTTAAATCATTTTTAGAAGTTTTCCCATGTTTCCTGAAAAACTTAGTTAACTAGCAGTATTATTCGCAGAAAATATTAGACGAAACCAATCAGAAGCAATAATAGAGAAAATAAATATGTATATTTTATTAACTATTTAAAAAAATAGCAATCAATATATTAAATTCTATGTTTATACATTTATATTTTTATTTTATACATAGTAAAATAATTTATAAAATGCGAACAAACTCATAGTGCAAATTGATCCTCTCCATTTCCATTCCATTTCCGGCTGTTGCAAATTACCACTTTGCCGAATATTTTTTCTCGATAGTCAATTAATAATTTATTTATTCGGTTTATTCACAAGTTGAGTTCATCACGGTTAAATTCTTAAAAATAAGGAGGCTAAATAAACCTGCTAATGAACTAAAAGTGGCTTATAGCTAAACCTGAAAACGTTACAGTAAATCAAAAATTATGAATCTGAAATTCAATTATAAATTACCTTAGCAAGAGCAAATCATGTTACAAGACGGAGATCGGTTACGGATGAGAAACTAGCTAATCTTAATAATTACCCAAAAATAACCACTAAAGTTCTTTGCACTGTTTGATCAGAAGAACATATAAAAAAATAATACTACTCTACTAAAATAGTTTCGAATTAATCGATTGCAAACCAAAGCAATATATACAAAAAGAAATAAAAATTGATTAAAATAAATTATTTTGATTTCCTACTTATTTATAATGAATTAAAGAATTAATGTTAAAACATTATGCTGAAAAGTTTTGTAAAACATCAATTTCAAAGTGTGGAACAAAAGCACTTTACTTTTTGTTCATGCAACAATGTTTAAGTTTTTGTTTTTGTTGTAGTTTTAATAAAAGTATTTTCTTGCAGTAAAAATACTATTCATCTGTATTTTTCCATTTAATTCATACATGTATCCTCTCGTATATCAATCTCGTATTATATTATTTGAAAGCTATTCAGAACAACAGTTAAGTTGAATATGTATTACGTTGTTATGTTGAATGTATATAACTTAAATTATGTAAGGTAAATAAGCAGACTTGTCTTCAATTAACAAAAAAAACCTTTAAGGGGTCTATATTCTACAAATGGATGAATAATTGAAGAGCAGTTGATTGAAGTTGAATGGTTCCCAAACGGTTGTTCAAAAAATCAAATAACTGCAAAACCAAAATTAATTATTTCGGTCACTTTAGTTTTTCAATGTGGTTAATCTCCAGAATAAATCAGAATATTTCAACTCGTTATTATTCGTAAATTATTTAAATAATTTTCAGCTCTTGTTTGTAGTACAAGAAAATAGATCAGAAAACTGAAAAGTCGTTACTTTAACTTTGGCTTTATTCGTGAAAATACACTAAAAAAAAGCCACAAGTACTTAGAATAGCCTTTTGGCAAATTCTCAAGACCACAAGTCTGATGGACAGAAAGAATATCTCAACATTTTTTTTTATGTTCTGTTTTAAAAGACATCATTGTCCGTCGTCTGTTGATACGTTGATACTAAAGTTGGCTTTGGTTCAATCTGGAAAAACACTTCTTGTAAGGTGGAAAGAAAATATTGGTCAAAAATGTTGTTAATCTGCACAAATGCAATATTAAACTGAAGCTGTTGATACTATATAGAAAGAAACATTTTTCATTCGTCGGCACGCATTTGCTCACTTACTCTGCTTGTTTCCAATGCTTTTCTACTTCCGCTTGGGGACTCATTTTCATTATCCTATTCTTCCCCCTAAATAAATTTCAGTATTATTATTCATGACTTATTCCTGGCGACTTTTTGGTTGAACTTTTCAATAAACTGAAACAGATAAAGGACCAGTAAAAGGAGCTCCAGGCAGTTCATATACACGTAGCTTCTCAAGGGACGCTCGAGTTAGCATCCATGTCTGTTACATACCAAGTAATTCAATTTGTCTCCGGTGTTTGACAACTGAATTCGTAAAAGCCTCTGAATGTCACCTCAACGCTGCATATTAGATAAAATTCCCGCAGTTTTACGTTTTGCCTTGGCGGTGACGAATAAGTCTCGAATATATTAAAACTGATGTAGGCTACGAATTTAAAAACAATATTTTCAGCTATTTTCAGTGGCGGGCCTAAAACGAATTTTTGGAAAAATCTTGGTCCAATAGAGTCGAAAATACTAATTTGTATGTGAAAAAGTGCAACGGAGCGACTGTAAAAACTGTAAAGCAAGGAAGCAACCTTAAAGAAAACAACAACGAAAAATCAAGTAAATTGTGCAGTTGCAAGAGCTGCGACTTGATTTAGATTTTTCAGATCTTATTTCTTCATAGTCAATTTTGAGTCAATTTGAAATTTTTATAGCTTTCTTTAGTTCCATAATTTTTGTGATTTAAAAGCGCATTTCATCCTTATGCTTTTCAAAAAAACGAAAGATATGAAGGAGAACAAATTGCTCAATCTCCCAGCAAATATGCACATTTGCATGGTCATTAACATTGTTGTTATTACTGAATTATTGTTGGTGTGAAAGATACATCATTTTCAATACGTCTCTCTTTTTGTTTTTTTTCATTCTTACTTGCTATTTTTTAATTATTTTTTTTTTCATTTAGTGCCTAAAATGAGTCTTTTGTTAGGATCAATACCTCACTTTTGTCAAATTTTGTTACACCACCACAAACCCACAAGAGAAACTCGTGTCTGCCTTAATTGAATTGTTAATGCGACACAATGAAACAGTGGCAATTATGCAAGTACGTAACAAGAATTTGCCTTATTCTGAGCAATTTTTTTTATTTCAGCGAACTGCTAAAACTCAATTTGATTATTTGTTTCTTAATTTTCCTGCAAGAATATTTTTATATCGGATGTTCAAATTACTTAATTCCTAACTCCCTAATCTCTAATATTTGAGTCCCTATAGTTCGCTATGCTACATCCACAGTAAAAAAATAAATAATCCAGATACGTTTCCCGCTAGACATTGACCGGATATTTCGATAACCCACATTAATATTTAACCGAAATTCATGAATTGCGAATGTCGGTGAAACAAATCCAAGCAAATGTGTTTTGTCGCTATTTTCGGAGTCACGAAACGCTGGCCGGACACCCAAACAAATTAAATTAGATGCCTGAGGACGTGAATTCTCTTGGGTAACTTGTAGAAGATGGCTGAAGGGAAAATATCGTTTATTTTTAGTTTCATTGCCTGATATGCTTTTTATTTGGCAGAGAAGCGGATTTTTCTTAACAAGTTTGCCATTCAAAATTGGTTTGCTTCATCGAAACTTTAACGAAACTAGTGGAGAGTATAAAGTACGCTTAAAGTTGTCAAAGTAATTAGGAATATGAAAAATATCAAGAGTCTTATTGAAGTACGGGTTCTTGCAAGTGATTGCTTGGGTACATAATTAACTTAAAATATTAAAAACTAAAATTGTAGCTACGGTGTGGTAGTAAAATTTTGACTTAAATAAAATTTAAAGTTTTTGAAGTGATAACTTCTTATGGCACGGTCGAAACCCATCGGAATACGTTACGGCGTCGTTATATTTGGCATAGATACAAGTGCGCAGTTTGTCGCGCACGCATACAACCGCTCGCGAGTTACATTAGGCCGGTCGTCTGAATATAATAGTGTGTAGTCTGTGCGCCGTTTTCGTGTATATAAGTGTGTAGTCTGCGGGCCACAAACACGATAAGGCTGAATATTGTATGGTTATCAAGTTATTTTTGCGAAACAATTTAACCAAGGAATTAATTATTTTTTACAGATTATTTTGATTGCGTGCAACCATTAATTAATCAAACCCAGTGACAACGCTATTTCTTCAAGTTTTTAAAGCTTTAACCGGTATGAGCTTTAAGCGGTATCGATCGGTACAGAAAATGTTTTTTCTTCATTTTTGAAATTGTTTTGTAAAATTTAAACTACTGCAAATACGACAGTAAGTCAAGCTCCATTTAACTGAGGAAAGTACCTAATTCCAGTTAGGCTCCGATGGAAAGAATGTCAAATTATATTTACATCTTCAAGCAACTCAACAAATACTTTCAATTTATGAAATATTATAAAACTCTCGCAAGAAATTAAGTAATTAAGTTTCAAATATAGATGCTACTTGATAGCACATTAAATGGCCACAGTTCCTTGAGATTAACGACGAGAATCATGCAAAATTCAACATTACATTAACTCAACTCCCTGTCCGGCGATGCTTCTCTAGTGGAGCCGCATAATGAATGATCTAATTGTAATTTTCAGTACATTAGTGCCAAGTATATCTTGATATTTGATATTCCTGCCACGATTTAATTCCAACCAGATTTCCAGAGGCATTTGAATGGTTAGAGATTTGTAAAAGGAAATTGAAGGTGCATCTCGGATTCGAACGGGAAAAAACTGATTGAATATCTGATTTATGAGCTTCTTTGCATTTGGAGTTTCGAATATTCGAATTTAAATTTAATTAAATTCTTTATTGTAAATTGTCAGAATTTGTTTCTCCGCATTACAACTACAGCTGTTTGTTAGCGTTACGTCAGGTAGATGCTGGCTGCATCCAGCAAAGTAATTTCAAAGCTTTATTCAAGGCAATTATTTATTTGGAAAATGTATAGAAAGTTCCTATTTCCGACTAGATTTACCCAGCTGCCTTGTTATAGTTAATTTATTTTGTCCACTGGCAAGAAAATTCTAATCTTCCAACCTGTTCCAAAGCTAATTACGAACAAAGCCTTTCAGTTTCATTTAAATTTAAATCGAGCTTTCCACCAATAAGTTCTCGATCCACGATCCATTGTTTGCACCAAGCTTCCTTCTTTTTTCCCCATTCCCAACCTAATTCCTTGAGTAGTTTCGAAACGTCGCAAGCTTTCGAGAAAGCAACACGCTAATCCACAGGACAGACATTGTTTAGTGCCCAGCTCACGTCTACTTTCTCACTGCGATGTTATCTTAATGGTCTCTAATGGAATGTTCCACCTGAATCTTAACTAATCATCGTAATTTAAGATCTTTGGCATTCTTGGACAATTTTTCCTGTTAACAGAAGTCGCATCACTTGGAAGACAATTTAGCATTTTCGCCGAATTGTTGGTCGAAAATTCCCAAAAGCAATTAAAATTAGCCATATTTATGACAAATGTTTTCACTCAGAACTTCTCCAGGGAATTTCCTACTCTTTTTTATGATATTTATTGTCCTCAATGATTGGAAAAACCGTTCGTGGCAAGGTTGTTGCAATTTTTGAGTTCTTTTTATTTCCCAGATCTATTTTTCTGTCAAGACTTTTCGAAAATTAATCAAGATGGAATCTTGTGGAGCTTACTATTCGACGCAAAAGCTTTTCTGTTCTAAAAGTTGCATTTCTAGTTAAAATTGTAAGTTCACAAATGTATGCTAATGTGCGAAGCAGCTTGGTTCGTTAACACAACGACTTAATGTGTTGCTTGAAAGTTGTGGATTTGTGGCACGTTCTACACAAAATTTAAATAAATGTTCTTGAAACATCAAATACAAACTGAAGGGTTCTATCCAGAAATTAATCCTTTAAATGTATGTTCAACATAATGCCAATGTATTTGGAAACGTACATATATGGAAAATCGACCCGGTTTTATTTATATGGCCTGAAAGTTTGGAATTTAATTTTAAAATTTCCGACAAGCAAAAATTAAAACCCCAAAAGTTTTCTGTAACTTTCTGTTCTTCTTCTAGTATTTTGAAGAATAACTCAAAAAGAAAAATGTGTATATTTACCTGTACTTGCACAAAATCTCTAAACGTTTATTGAGTAACATCGGAAAGCGACAATTTGCAATAATTTAATAAAAACATTTCCCACATATTTCAAGTTGGATTCAAGCTTTACAATTGATCAAGCAAACATTAGGTCGACTTAGCATCCGGATAATCCTGATACATACAAAGAACGTATTTAAACTGCAGATAAACAGTCGGTTTATTTATAAACTTCTATGGGGCATTTGATATTGTTCGGTACAAAGGGCTATTGTTAGAACTTTGCGCACGTCAACCGCCAAAACTTACTTCATATCATAAGAAACCTACTTGAAAGCAGACAACTTGAAGTGAACAGTGACAACGCCGTTTCTGTTTCCTTCGCGTTCTTGAATTTTTGCGTGAAAATAAAAATTATTTATATCTATTTATTTATCTAGTTATTTAAACATAATTAGTATGTGTATGACATCCACTTCCATATTTACTGAAGATAGGGATCCTAATTTGTTTATATGTATATGATACTCCTTTCAGTTTCTTACCGATTTTATATTACCTCAAAAATGCACAATTATTACGACAAAATAACTAGTTTTATTCAATACAATATTCATAATGTTTATGCATTTAGTTATTTCCTACGATTTACCATTTTTTCTATCTGTTCTACTTACTTTAAACAAGAGTTTACAATCTTATTTTATACAACAACAGTATAATATTAAAAATAATGAAAATATCATGAGTCAAAATCAGGGAGAATTGTTGCTCTCCTTGAGTTAAATTGGGCCGCATTGCATAACAACAATTTTGTCAACTGCTGAAAGCAAAATAATCGCTATTTATGAATGAGTTAAACCTACAGTAAAACAAATGAATTGAAAAATATTCTGATTGGATGTTATACAAAAAATTAATTTCGTATTCCTATTCCTCAAACAAGACCTTAAAACATTTTGAATTTCCGTCTTAATAATTGTACATCACTCATCCAAATATTTTTCTAGGTGTATAGCAAACAATTCTAAATAGTTTCTAAATTGTTTAAAGAACTCTATCCAGTACAAAGCGAATTTTAAGAAGCCATATTCCATGTATTACCTTGAAGCCGCTCTCTGAGCAGCTACTAAGCTAAATCAGGGAATGTGCATCATTAAAATAATTCTTTGAAGCCCTACTACAGCTTTGTTGGAAGGTTGTTCAAAAATAACTCCTCATTAGCTTTCACAGTTGTTGTTGAAAATGTATCTATGTACATGAAATTGCATTGCTTAAAATTAACGAGGAAGCATTGTCGCAACAGGAGACAGCCATTGTTAATATTAATTAAGCAATGAGGAGAAAACATCGACAATTGTTGTATTACTCCTGTTCCTAGTTGTTTTTTTTTGTTTTCGCACCTGCAATAACAGTCACACAAATCACATAAATTAGTCTGTAACA